TGTAAAAAAATTCGCTAAGCCTTTTTCCCTAGTAATAAACATAACAAAAATGCTTTATTTGATTTTTTTCGGAAAATATTATAAAAATAGTAAAATCACCTTTTTATTCTTCTATTTATGTTTACTGTATTTTGTGTCATTTTATCACAAATTACCCATCTCCTAAACATATATATTAGGGTCCTATTGATTTTGTGTAATGCACGTAATGCCAGTGTGACTACTACTAAGAAAAAATATATTTCTTGTTTTTGTCAATTACGGGTAACCATTTCATATCATATTTATTTTTATCGAGAAAAAAACTAACTCTAGTTTATTTTCATTTTAAGTTACTTTCAATTGAAAGTGTAAGAAGTTTAAAAAAATTTCGTATTGCTTAAAAAACAATTGAAATTTAAAAGTAAAAAAGCATAAACTTTAATTACAAAAAAAAAAAAAAAGTCAAGAACATGAAGAAATATACGGCTAGTAATAGGACTAAAATGCTGTTCCTTTGCTGCGAACTGCTTCTATTTATTTGTTTCATCTGTGTGTTACAAAATGTTAATCATGTAAGATAATAATATGCATGTGAAAAATAACGCAAAATGAAGCAAAAAAAGCCCGTTATTTTTGTATTCTACATTTCTTTTCTAATTTCCTCTTATGTAACTAGCACTGTTCCATTACTACGAGGCTTACGTGAATACCGCGTGTTGTAGAAAAACGCATACATGACTGTTGTTGTTTCTTTTTTCTTATCTGTTTTTAGGGCATACATTATAACCCTAGGACCTGTCCACAGAATGAGAAATCCAGGAACAACTTAATAAAGAGCAGACAATTATCCTTCCGACACAGTCATTATCACCATAGACCTGGCTTTCATGACCACTGTAGCGAGACCATTGTGGAAACTCCTAGATCAAGAAATCCCAATTCCATTAATACATATGTACGTAATGAAGGACGACACGATTGGCCATTTGATCGAACCAGGTTAAATAGAATACACCACCACACAGTACCATATTCCCTTATGCTTCATGTACAACTATATGTACCGGCGAATTGCAACTACATGAATAACCTACCATTTCCCCCCTTTATATTCCTCCCTGCAGGACTCGTATTACTCACCATTCACATAATCATCATACACCAGTTGTTTCACCAGTGCACCCCGCAGTACCGGTAGTACCGGCAGTACCAGCAGTACCGACAGTGCCGACAGTAGGGTCAGTAATTGATGGTGCTATTCACACTGCCCTCGGCCATGGCCCTTGTCCTCATTCACCATATCACGGCTATGGGGGATTTAGTACGCAATTTCTAAACCCAATAGTATCAAGGTTTAGGGGTTTATATTAGTATGCTAGAAGATTGATATCACATACATTACTCGCGATACCAAATATTGTTGCACTTCTTATTCCCTTCCCATTGTGGTAAGCGTTATATTGCCTAAAATTTTTTTGTATAATGCAAAAGAAATAATACAAAAAAGAGTGTATTGTATTTATCAAAATGAAAAGTATGATTAATCAATACAATGGGCATTATAAATAACAGAAATTAGTACAGCATAATATCATAATATTATGAAAAAAACGAAAGACACCAAATGACTAAATTCATGAATATAACTTATAGTTAATTACTCATTTATGGAATATTAAAAAGGATACAATCCATATGCCATATTCTACGTATCCTATACAATTACTTACACTTTTCAATGTATTAATAGAGTTTTTTTCTTAATATATAAATATTCTCGGGTAATTTTTCTTCTGAACATGTTTTTGAATTTTGTACTCCTACGAAATATCCATTTATTAATACATATATATATAGTTCAATCAAAAGACACATCTATATTAATGTTAATCTGTACAACTATTCGTTTTATGAAAGCCATAAAATTCCCAGATTTAATACATGTTTATATATAAATTATTCATTTTTATCACATCATACACAAATATTTGTCAGGAAAAAATTTATGCGGAGAAGGCACAAGATTCAAGCACAAATGTGAAGTTTTCCAAAAGATGCTAACTCACACATATCAGAACTGTCAAAGAAGAAACTTGCTGTTCATTATGAGAAATATGAATAGAACCCCTCTACGTTTTAAAATGTTTTTCGTGCATGTGCCTTAACTTAGGGGTCACTTTTTGTACACTTTTTATTTTGTCTATACGCAAGAATAGCTGCTATAACACAATACTAATTTTCCGCAGCTTCCTGTGTACGTATAACACTCGAACAAGAAAACTTTTTAAATATTTAGTACATCACACGGTTAATGAAAATTTGAAGGAGCAATATTATGTCAAAATTTGTTCGTGTACTCACTAAAAAATAATTATAGGTATGCTTTATTTCATACTACCAAATGAGAAGCAGCGGTGCCGCACAAGGTACTCATTGACAGTACCAATAAATGAGCAATCTATTAATAGGGAACAATTTGTCCATTTAAAATTTTTTTTGTTCAATAGCTAGAAATGCCACAGAAACCGAAACATATATACACACTACTGTTGAGATTGTTCAAACAGATGTTGCCGCTCTATCTTGGCTCACGTTGTAGCTTGCGAAAAAAGGGTGAATTTTTCTGCGCGGTCAACCGATAGGAAATGAAAAAATTGGTCAAGTTTATCTGTCTACAGGGTTTAGGGTTCATGGTTCAGCGTTCAGGATTCTAAGTTTTAGCAGGTTTAGAGTTTAAGGTTTAGGGATCAATGTTTCGGGCTTTACGCGATTTAGGACGTTTAGGAGGTTTAGATTTTAAGTTTCTATAATTGCCAGGTTGGCGTTTCCGTGTTGAATATGTAAGGATCCCAGTGTTGGAGTTTAGGCGGCTTGAGATGTAGGGCTGTTTTTGTTTTTTTTTTAATTAGTATTCTGCGTGTCCGTATAAAAGTAGTCCAAATAGTAACGTTGTTTCGCGGTCCTTTTGGGAACATGGGACGGAACAGTGAAATGGCGTATGGCAACGGTTGTTTGTGTCCTTTTTCCACTCGGTTATGTTTGTGCGTGCTTGTGCCTTGTGCGTCGTGCGTTTGTGTGTGACCTTGCGTGTTGTGTGCACTTACTTTCCAAAGGGAATAACCCAGAAGGGCGACGGTGACGGAAGCGAGAAATAACAGCACGGGAGCAGTGGCGGTAAGGACCGTGCCGGTTAGGTCGGGGGGAGTGGGGCCGCCATGCTGAGGTGGGTCATTCATTAAGTTTTTATTTTCATTATTCAGTGTGAAATCGTGTCCGTCAGGTGGTACAAAGGATCCTCCGGGGTCCCCTGCACTTTGTGAGTTATTAAGTGATATTCTTAGGTCACATGATGAGTATCCCTCCGAGTCCTCAACACCAGCACAACCGAAGGAAGATGGATTGTAGGAAGAGAAACCGGAAGGATCTGAGTTTGCTGTATTCGGTTTTACCCCATCTTCTGTTGTATCCCATGGTTGAACCCACTTTGGTGGGTCACCTATTCCTGTAAAGTCTAACATGGGGTCAGGCTTTTCGCCTTTTCCTGCCGGGTCCCCTGTAATGGTTTGGCTAGGATCATCATGGGACGAAGATTGACTGGGTTGACTGGCTTCTGCATCTGGTAAAGATGATGATGGGTCCTGTGCTTGTTCCCCAGGGTTGGACGCTGGGTCCCATAAGGTTGGTGCTTGTGCTGATGGTTCAGCTGCTGATTCTTTCCGATCCGTATCCGACGTATCCTTTGATGCAGTTTTATCTGTAAGATCAAGTTTAGGCGAAGAAGGTAGAATGATAAAAATACAGTTTGTGCGGTGGTTGTCCAGACGGTCCGTCGTTTAAGGTTGACCCGTGTATTGGGACGGCGTGGCAGGTGCCACCCCGGGAAAAGACTCTCTCTGTCTCCGACACACACACAACACACACAGACAGTGTGTGTGTGTCTGTAGACGTCTACCTCTACCGGCCGCTACCTCCCGCGGCCGTCTATCGGCGCGCTCACTCTCATTCGACGTTTGCTTTCTCTCTCTGGCTCTCTCTCCGTGTTGTCTCTCCGTCTGTCTTCGGAAAAGTTGTTGTTTCTTTTTGGTTGTTTTGCTCTTTCTTTTTCACACCTCCGCACATGTCCCCTCTATGTAAACTCTGGTGAACACGTTTGTGCGCGCTCCTCAAACATGAGTGCGAGATGACGCGAACTCTTTGCTCCTATTACTCTTTTTGTCCGTAGGGTTAAAATTAGTTGCCGGACTGTGCTGAGTGCGCAGAAGTTCGTTAATCTTTTCACATGATGGTTGACCTTCAGGGGTATAGCGGCCTGTGGTAATGCTCACACGTGAACCTGCATGTGACTCTATGGCGGCGTGCGGATTCTTGGGCTTTGCGTCCGGGCAAGTATACTCACCTGTTGCAGTGTCCTGGTGGTTGTTAGGTGTGCTCTGTTCCTTTCCTGCAGGGTCCAGTAACTGTGGTGGTTGTGGTGGGGGTGGTTGTCCTTTACCTGCTCCGTGACCTGCTCCTTGCGGTGGTGTGTCTGACCGTCCCCGTTCATCTGGCCCACTCCCTGGCTCTGGTGGGTTTGTCTTATCGTCCTTCTTCTCGGTAACAGCCTCCTTTGGTTGCTCTGGTACCTTATCTGGTGCATCTTCTGGTTTCTTGGTTGGCGGAACTGGAACTTTTTTCTCTGTAAAAGGATAATAATGAGTAGCATTACATGTTTGGTCCACTAACGTAAGATAAGAATAGGACGACAGCACACGTCAGGTATGCGTGCGTGCAATGCACACAGACCTCCCATGTCCGCACACTTCCTTCTGTGCCTTCCTCGTTTCCTGCTTGCTTAATGTCTACATGCACTATCCCTCGTCCCGCTCCGTCATCTCATCCCGGTGCCTCGTCACCGCTACCGCTACCGCTACCATCGTGACGGCCGCTCTGCGCATGGCGCAAGCGAACTGGGGCAGCGTAGATGTGCCGCGCTGTGCTGTTGTGCTGTTCTCGCCGCGTGTGCGTGTTCTTGTGTTTGCGGCATTCCTACTATTCGTGCCGTGTGTATGGGTATTCATATTCGTATTGTTGCTATTCGTGTACTTACCGTCTTCAATTTCCATGTCCTTCTCATCCGCTTCGTCAGTTTCACTCAGGGTTTCCTCTTCATCGGAATCCGTCTCATCCGTATCGTGTTGTCCTTTCCCGGATCTTGCCCTTTCAACTTTGTTCAGAACTTTCTTCATTCTTTTGTTCAATTTCTCTTTCACATTTATTTCCCATCTCTCCTGGTTAGTCTGCTCTTGCTCATCCAGCGGTCTATTCTCCTTCGTCTGCTCCTTCCTTATTTTTTTCTGACACGCCGCTTTCATTCTTTCCCCTGCTATCATACTTTTTAGTCTGTCATTGTTCCTTAACCTTTCTTTAATCTCCTCACTCATACTCCAATTGCCGCGCGTTATATCCATCAGTCGGTCCATCGCGCATTTTTGCGTACCGGCTGACCTAGTTATTCCTCCGTCCTTCATCATTCCATCCACCGAGTACCATGCATAAAATGTACCCCATTTACTTCTACACACGGATTCAAACAATATGTCCGTGAACATATGCACTACTGCACATCTCATGTAACCTTTCAACTTCATATCATTCTCTTTCTCATCATAAGGGATTTTTCCAGTTTGACTCCATCCTTTCAGGAAATATAAAGCAATTGTCATAAATTTGCACGCAATCCTGTCACCTTCATTTTGACCCACGTGCGCATACTTTGCATCAGTGAGCCAATGTTGCCAACCTGCATTATTACAGTTTGAACCAAAGGCGTCCATAAGTGGCTCCATCTCTTTCATGTGTTCAACAAACTCTCCGAGCCTGGCCCGTATGTCCTTCTGTAGACTTTCCTGAAATGTATAATATGCACACGTACTCTGTAGCTGCGTTCATGTGCATTCATTCACTCGTTGCATTCAAACATTCACATAGCACGACTGCGCTCGTGCGTATTACTCTGTTCTAAATTTGCGCATTCAATGTTACCATGATATATGCAGTAACACACTTCTACGCACATTTGCACGTGGCACCAACATATATGAGCGCGTATACTCCTATACACGGTTTGTTGTGTCGTTCATAATTAATTACCTGATAAAGCTCACCACTTCCCTCTAGTTGCCTGTCCTTGGCGTATTTTGCCAATATATCCGCTAATGCCCTATCCGACATACTTCTTCGTCTTGGAGTAGCTCAAATATTACACACCTGAGTATTGTCCCAATGTCCCACGTGAACTATATTAACCTACACATGTCCCCTCTAGGCCTTGTTATATTCTTCCTTTACTACTTATGAGTAATGTGCCCCCTGAACACTTAACATTAGAACATTATACATAACAAAATCCTTATGTACCGGTGTGCAATCCCATGCGTCTACTATTATTATATTCCTCAGAAACCATATATTGAGAATGACAGAGGAATAAATATAGATAAAGAAAAAAAAAAAAGAACACAAGAAAGGTAATGAAAAAATAGTAAACAGTATTACTACTACCGCCTACACCCGCAACGCGTCATGAATAACGCCCGCTCCCGCCTTTCTACATCGGTCTCCACTAAACGCCTGTCACACACACTGTCTCTCTGTGTGCGTACACAACCAAACCGCAGTATAACAACAACATCAATTTCTTCTTCCGTCGTTGCCGCAACCTCGTACAAGCGCTTGTCGTCGAGTGTAAGAAGGGGTTCTGCGAAGTGGACCAGTGTAAGAAGGAGCAGATTGTCTCTCCGAGCATACGATCGGTCCGAGTGTAAGAAAGGACGAGATTGTCTCCGAGGAAAGGTGGCCAAGTAAAGCAGATTGTCCTCGTAAGACGCCATATTGTCTCCGTGCAAACGCGACCGGTAAACGCGATTGTCCGAGTGTAAGAAGCATTCGACGAAGTAGCCGAGTGTAAGAAGCAGGAGGATTGTCTCTCCGAGCAACGCGGTCGGTCCGAGTGAAGCGATTCGACGAAGTAGCCGCTTGTACGCAGGCGAAGGATTGTCTCTCCGCGCAAACGCGGCCGGGTACCCACAATTCGACGCAGCAACCGCGCGTACGACGGCAGCAGCAATTGATGTTGTTGTTATACTGCGGTTTGGTTGTGTACGCAGAGACAGTGTGTGTCAAGGCGTTTAGTGGAGAACGGGGCGTCGGGTGCAGAAGGGTGTGTTCATCACGCGTTGTGTGTGTACGGTAGTGTAGTAGTACTTTTTTTCTTCTTCTTCTACAGACGCAACGAGGACGGCACAGCAAGGCGCACGACGGTACGCGGAAGCACGAAAACACCTAGTAGTTTGTATATTTATCACGACTTTGCAGAAGCGCCACCCGGAGAGGCCTTGACAGAGAAGCGCTCACGGAGACGCCGTGACGGAGAACGCGGTGACTCGGACACGGTGTGACGGAGAGAGCTTTGACCGGAGACTGGGTTGACGGGGACGGGGTGCCACGAGAGGCCTTGACGGAAGAGGCGTTGACGGAGGTGCGTTGACGGAGACGCATTGACGAGAGAAGCGTTGACGGAAGAGGCGTTGACGGAGACGGGGTGTGTGTATATTTTTTGTTCTTGTTGTTGTGTTATGAGAGCGGTAGTAGTAGTAGTAGTAGTCGTGTACTTTTTTTTCAAGAAGGGGAATACAAAGTGTTCAACATGTCTAGGACCCGTGACCCAGAAGTAAGGGATTTCATACTGGCATGGGATAATTTTATAGGAAGGAGGAAATGGGATGGACAACGTTATCGACTAAGTTTCATAGTACCTGCAGATCAAGGAGAGGGTAGTAGTACATTTCCGCGACAGTATATGAACATTGAACACCGAATCCTGTGCGTGTGTATGAACTATTTATACCAGTATCATGGACGTCAGAGGGCTGTTGTAGGGGCCAGTGAGGTATAGCCCGCATAAAGGATTCAACGGTGGCAATGTAAATCGGTATACTAGAATGTTGGAGCGTGAGGACGAGATGAGGGGTTTAAAGGAAATATGTAGTGCACCAATGATGCACGAGTCTGCAGGAAACCATGGGTCAAAACAGTGACGTTTGGGAGTGAAGGATACGTGAAGAATATATATGCACGTATAAATTACTCCACTTGCAGCAACGACTAATGCAGCAGGTTGATAATATCTTCAACAGGTTAATTAGCACAATTGGTGAAAGTAACGCTTTTATTTCCGGCTTCTGCGGAAGTATATATAATAAACCGGATCAGGGATTATGTGGAAGCAGGTGTCAGGACATTGCAAAGATTGTCGTATACATGAGAGCATATGATTACAACACGAAAAGTGGAACATGGCAACAAAAACCATACAGCATGGCACCACCAGGAACTTTCAGGAATATTTAGAGTGCATAGTAGGGAGTGAAATTTTATTAAGACTATATGGACGGAATAAAGACCATAGGGATATTATAGCAGAAGTGTCCGATAAGTTAGGAAAATCGAACACTTTATTGGGAGAGCACCCTCAAAGTGGATTGTGCGAGAATATAGATTTCGGGAAGGTACTATTTCAATCAAAGAGCATTGGAACAGGAATAAGACAACGATTAGATAAGTTGAGCGACCAATGGGTGGCCGGGAAAGCAACACATGCGCGCGGAAGACCAAGAAAATGTGGGTGGAAGAATACAGATGAAGATGATGACAACGGGAATCCGAAGAGGGCAGCGGCGTGTAATGAACAGCAAGACGTACTGCACATGGACGATGAGCTTATGACGGAAATAAAGTCCTGGGTAGCAATTGGCTCCTTTGAACGCGTACAGCAGGTGTTAGAGGACATGCAGAAACAAGAGGGATCCAAGGAGAAATGTGCAATAGAGAAGGAGATAAAGGAGAAGATAGACGACAAGGTCAAGCAACTGAAGACAGTGGTGCAGGGCAGGCATAAACCCTCTGCAACGGCGAAGACACCGGAAGGATCAGGAGGGGCCAAGAGCAACACAAGGACGCCATCACAGAGGGCACAGCATCCTACACCTCCCGACGACCAACCCGGCGTGCAGGCCCGCGCCCACGCACCAAAGGTACCGACAGGTAAGGACCGAGGGGAGCAAGCACTAATACGACCCGCTACGTACCGTATTGCTCAATATGGATGCCACCACATCAACACGCACGGCGGAACAGCACTGCAACACTTCGGTTGCGCCGAGCACAGCGGCCACGAGGGTAGCGGTAGCGGAGCGCACGGACATGAGTGGCCACGGCAGCGGTCGCGGACGAGATAACGGCGACAAATAAAAGTTGTACTACTACCATGTATCCACCTCACCGTATGCTTGCTGCCTCCTCACCCAGTCCACCGAGTCCATCTCGATCCATGCAGGCGACCTACCCTGCCGCCAACTGACCCGACCGTACCACACCACACCGTCCCGGCCCCTTCTTTCTGTACCACTTGTGTCCTTTTTTTTTTTTATCATCTTTTCATTTTTTTATCTGTCTTCCCTTCCTCCATCATTTTATCAGCAAAGGATAAACCAGGCACACCGGCGGGAGCACCATCACCAGGGAAAAAGGCAGATGGACCAGATGTGAAGACCTCGGAGAACGACAAGACGCGTGATTCTGGATCCCCCGGACTTTCGGGAACAGCGGCAGGCACATCAGGGCCACCAAAGGTAGGGGACACTAAGAGCCCCAAAGCTGGAGGATCCGATGATAAAGGCACAGGCGCCACACAACCAGGAGCAGGATCGCAACCACAAGCACCTGCATCTCCAGTATTACCAGCAAGACCACCACCTCCTCCACCTGCACCACCATCACGGGCAGCATCAACAGAAAATGCAGTAGGGACAGAGGGAGCAAAGGGGGAAACAGGACCAACAGAACCCAAGGCAGGATCCGAAGCAGGACCGGCAGTACCAAACGGAGAAACTGGCGAAAAAAGTGCAAAAGGTGAGAATTCAACAGTGCGTACACAACCAGAAACCACCAGTAGGGTACCTCAGGGGAATGGTGAGGGGTGTCCAAAAGAAGTAGAGGATGTGAACGTACTCCTTACTTGCCTCGATAATGCAGAATCCAAGGAAACTAAAGGTGTGGATACGCGCGACGACGCCGATCAATATGTTTCCGGTACATGGGTTCTCCCCGAAAGTACTAAGTCCACAGAAGTGTCTATGGGCACATCACCTGAAACTACGGGGACACCCAAAGGTACGAATTGTAGGACGCCAGAAAGCGGCACTAACAGAACATGTTCCACTACTCTTACCCTAAGTTCATGGATAGCGAAAGAGCCACGGAAAAAAAAAAAAAAGAAACAACTTTTCCGGAGACAGGGAGAGACACCACGGAGAGAGAGACACCAAACGTCGAATGAGAATGAGCGGGACGCAGAGCGGCAGAGCGATGGCGCGAGAGACACAGCCGCCGCGGGAGATAGCGGCCGTTAGAGACGTACACACACACACACATTGTGTGTGTTGTGTGTGGGAGACAGAGAGAGTCTTTTACCGGAGTGGCACCCTACCCCCATAGCCGTCTCCCCGACGCCTGGCCGTGCCCCGATGCCTGCCGTCGCCGTGGCACCAATGGTGCCGACCATCAGCGACGGACTACAACAACTGTGTGGCCGACAAGCTAGCACGAACTTCAGTTTCATCATTTGCCCTGTTCTGTATGTCCATTCAGAATCGCAAGAACCACCGAAGGCCTCTAATGCGCAGGACCCTGATACGCAGCCTACATCGAGTAAGGGACCTGATGGTAACACGAAGTCCACTGCTCAGGGTGAACAGGGTGACCCCAATAAAGACCAAGGGCAGCCGCATGGTTCTCAAGAGGAATCTAAGGAAAAGACCTCCACTGAAGTCCAGAATCCGTCCAGTGAGTCCGGCGCAGCAGGTCCCACTGGTCCAATTGGTCCAGCGGGTAAAGATGGCGACCACGATGCCGTGGTTCCCGGAGGATCCAGTCAGACGGATGACCCCCCTCCTCTCAATCCACCCAAACCTAAACCGAATCCGAACCCAGATCAATCGGGGAGCAGCCCCGGCGGCACCGGCGCGGGCGGTCTACCAGATGGTGCTGGTGGTGGAGCAGGACGTGGAGGCGGGGGAGGAAGTGGAAGTTCCCCCAGTTCAACCACAAGCCGCGCTACTGCTTCTAATGGAGACGATAAGGAAAACAACGCTGCCGACAGTAAAATGCAGGCTGAAAATGTTGGATTTGAATTAGACCTTAAACCATACAAAGGGGGCCTGGATGGATCATATGCACCACCAAGCCCAGAGGTTACAGCATCTGATAAACCAGTTACAATTCCGGGGCGCTCGAAAGATGATGACGCTATCTCCCCCATCTTCACTGCAAAGGACATCTTCCTTTCTTCCTCTGTTCTTATCTTCGTTGCATCCGTCACTTCCCTTATCGTCCTCTATTCCCTTTGGAAAGTAAGCACACAAAACCGCACAACGCACACAAGCACGCACAAATATAACCGAGTGGACACCATATATGCGTATCCGTAATAGGCACCATAAGAGTGTGTTTCTACGGAGCGCCCTTAAATGATGATGCCAACAAATCCATGTTCTGCTCATCCGCCTTTTGTTCTTTTTTTTTTTGTAGTACTTTGCGTACCTCGCCAAACGACGACGAACATATCGAACCGTGCGTGACGTGCCGTCACCGCCACTCGACCAACAAATATTGGAGCATGTACAACGCGGCGAACTACCGCCACCCGATTACGGGTACACGATGATTAGGGATAGGCAACCTGCGTCAACATCCGCCCGACGACGACGTCATCCACGCGTGCATAAGCGCACGATCATGGAGCTACATTTAGAAGTGCTCAACGAATGCGAAGCGGCCGCATGGGAAAACGTCAAAGACGACTATTTGCACATTGTCGTGGCGGAGTTTGCACACGAGTTGATGCGGTGCGGCAAGGGCTATAGTAGTTCCCCGGATACTGCTATCCCAAACGACGGTTTACCAGGAAACAATGTTCCATCCACTGAGTCCGACGGAACGGACAATTGTCCACCAAACGAAGAGGACCCCGATCCTTGGAGTTGTATGGAAACCATGCAGTTAGAAACGGACCCTTGTGCACCTAACGAAGAGGACTCCGATCCTTGGAGTTGTATGCAAACCATGCAGTTAGAAACGGACCCGTGTCCACCTGACGAAGATGATACCTGGAGTTGTATGGAATCCATACAGTTAGAAACGCGCCCTGCTGCACCTAACGAAGAGCACCCCGATCCATGGAGTTGTCTGGAAAACATACAGTTAGATGCACCACAGAGTCGTGCCCCTACTGTTCCGGGGGACGAGACGTCGGATTGCACCCACTGGATTCCTTGGATTGAACAACACAACCATATTATGCGTGCGTGCACGACGCAGCCGTGGTTTTTGCAATTGAAATTGGAATGGAAACAATACCTGCGTGATCACATGGCGGCAGACGCAGCATCCGGTGAGCACCGGGAAGCCGCAACCATGGAAAGGAAGAAATTGGATGCATGGAAAGAATGGGTAGCGCAACAACATCAGCAAATGAGTATGTATGGCCAGGAGCAGGAGTGGTTCCAGCATTGGTTGAATAATGTAGAGGAGGCGGCAGTATCGCAAAAAGGCGAAATACCTCGAGTAGAAAAACACTTAGAAGTGGAAAAAGTAATGGCAGCAGAACATATGCTAAAAGTGGGACATGTACCGCGCACGCAACCAATCCATGAGGATTCCTACAAGAAGAAACAACTACTAGCCAAATTATGGATGCCCACCCTAGCTTTGATCATAGAATAGTGTGACAAGGCAGGAATCGTGTATGATAAAGAGTTATATGTGGATAGTTTGTTACATAATACATGAAATTATGAGAAAGAAAGGCCATTTAAATAAATGGAAATGACACATAATAAGAACAGTTTACTTTTTCCCATTAAGCGATATACATAGTATGTTACCTACGCTTAAGTTACTGCCTGCTTCTTGTTTTCTTTTTTTTCTTTTTTTCTTTTTCAAAAGGTTTCGTCATTCTAAACAATATTGGGTTTGCAGTTTTCTTCTTTCTTCCTTTTTCATTTTTCCTGTCTTGGTACTTCCGACGGGGCGCGGCGGGAGTCATATGTGAAAATTATGTTACCATAATATGTAACTTTTTGCGTTTACATAAGTATAAAAACACGCCCTACACAAAGCTTTCATAAGTTAGAATTAAACTTTGTTTTTTGTCGTGATAAAATACATGCAGAAGGAATTTTGTTTGCATCTCTGTTTATAAAATAATGTGATTCAGCGCATTCTCATTCCAAACGACTGACTAAAGCACCTAGTATTTTTTATCCATAAGCGCATAATGCGGAACGCATGAACGCAATATAAAAACGTAAATTGCATATACTCCTATATATATGTAACGGTTCATTACAAAAAAAAACATTTTCCATCTAAAACCTACAACTAAAGCACCACACATTATTCAAATTTTAAAATGACCCCTCCTCTTCTCAGGCTCAAATTAATGTATCTTATGTGCATTTTTCTCTTTTTTTTTTTTTGGAATAATGTCATTTTTAGTTGTAACATAAATTTATTTTGACATAATTCCATTTTTCGTGTTATTTTTTTTTTGTGCATTTTGCACAATAGAAATAATTATGTATATGCAGATTCATGGAAAAGTAAATTACAACGGGATCCTATATGGTTCAATTGACCAAAAAAAAAAAAAAAAAACAGAATCACAACACTTCTGATAGTGATATATGCTGACGTTAAGGGGGAAAAAATGCGTTCATTCATTTCTATAATTTCTTTTTTGTTCTCTTAGCATACACTTGCTCCTAGTCGCAGCATAGTTAGGGAAAAACAGAGGGAACTACACTACGTGTTATATGTTTCCCCTTAATATAAGGATCTATAGCAACATGGTACACTCGAACAACACACAAACATCGACAAGGGGCCTTTCACAAGGAGCGTCGCAATGTCGACATGGTAAAGCATATTCCGCAGGTAATGAAGAAGGCAAAACGCATGACAAAAAGGCACACATGTCCTTCTTTTCCAAAACAGCTGCTATGCTTTTTGTTGTTGCTTGCATCTTCTTAACGGTAAGCCCAGTATGAAGGATTACATGATCACATATAGATGTATGTGGAGAATGGGACGTTTTATGACTGCTTACATATATGCTGCACACAACATACCCAATATTTATATGTATATTTATTCCTTCCCCTTTGTTCTTTTCTCTATGGCCATTCTTGTTTTAATTCAACGCATCACCACAACCTTTCCCTTCTACAGCATCAAGATGACTACGAAACACAAGAAGAACATGTGACCAAATTACGCGTACATAACAGAGTTGCCCGCACTTTAGCAAAAGGAAGCGCAGCTCCATCAGAACATGAGCTTGAATTAGATCCGATGGAATTCGAACACTATGACGATGCTCCACCAACCTATGAACAAAGCTATGAAGGTGCCTACGACGATGTCGAACAACCGTATGAACAAACCTATGAATTGACCCCCAAACGAATATATTGTCGCAACCAATGGACGAAACCAAAAACACGATGTTATAGTGAACGTCCAGGAGCTATTCTAAAAGAATGGAAAATGGTGGAGTACCAGGTACCACAAGAAGTGCATTATGATGGAGAATGGAAAAGAGAACATGATGCGAGGGAAGAAGAAGTCCATGAGTCTATACAATCGTTCGATCTGCCTCAGGAACCAATCGTTCAGGTTAAGGAAGAAGATGCAAAGGCCAAAACACAATTTCTGAGGGCAGAAACAAACGTTCCTTCTGGAGAACCAACTCAGCAATCAGATGAACAAGTAGGGGTTAAAGCACATAATGACCCAGCTGATTATATGTCCACACTCCTAGAACCATATGAGGGCATAAATTATTATGATAAGGAAGAACAAGATAACGAGAAGAAACGGAAGGAGGCAACACATACAATTGAGAAATATGAAGGCAAAGTAGCAGAAGATAGTGAAAACTATAGAATCCATAGTTCGATTGCATTCCACTACGAAATGACTTGTTTCGATGAAAGATTGACAGATTCTGAAATAAATGAAAAATTAGAACAAATCGAAGAGGAACCTCATAAATGGGAATTACTGTCTCTATACTGGCAATCATACAGAAATGAAAGAAGTAAATATATTGCCCTTAAAAAATCTTTGAAAAAAAAAATTTTAGAATTGCGAAACAAACAAACTGTTGTAAGTCTCAAAATATATAACAAGAAATGGAAAAAATGTGAAGAGATAATTAATAATAACTTGACAGAACAAAACGAACATGTTAATGAAGTATTTCGTACCATGGTGGCAAAGGAAAAATTGAGCACATATGAATTCGAGAAGATTTTATATGATTTCAGAGAATCATGGAAAGAAATGGCCCTTAAGACAGCAGACGAATGTATAGCGATTATTGAAAAACCAATTGCCTTAGAAGTCATATACGTCGCGGACAGGTTTGATGAGATAGGAATGAGGGTTCCAGGTTTTACGGTTCAGGGTTTAGGGTTTCAGGGTTCAGGGTTTTGCGCCTAGATGACTGTACGAAGAGCCGGACTTAAGGTTCAAGATTCAATATGTGTAAAATATGTTTTACGATGCGAAAGCTTATCAACGACGGAAAAAAGAGTGGAGCATCTATTCTATATGAATTCATTTCTTCTATTTCTAAATTATAATTAATATTTCCTCTTGTGTCCGCGATATTTGTATCACACATAATCATACTCATAATTTTAAGGTACACTTCCATAATGATATTTAGACGTGTTTTATGCTTATAAAGTGCGTAAATTTTTAAATTAACAACATTACGGACGTTAAACACATTTCATGACAATATTGTATGTGTCCCGTAGAACAATTAAGACGTTCATTTGTGAAAAATTACAAATGTTTCTAACCCACGCTATGATTTCTGTGCAAGATCATAATTTTGTGAGTGCTATGTTCATTTTTTCCTTGCGTCCATAGTACATATATGTAAATCAACAATTAGTACAATATATATAAAAATATGGAATCCATCCCTTAACGATATGAATGTCCATGATCCATTTTCCCGTGCACTACATCTTTTACTTCTCTTTCATTCCCTTATGACGATAACTGCCTCCATTTTCCAATGCCGTCGATAAAGTTATTTTTGTGCATTTTACAGTTTTGTTAATAGTGCGGTATGTGCTGTTATTTATAAATTTTCTATAGACACTGTAATGCCTTAACGTGTGAAATCATTCAAACGATAACCCCCCCCCAAAACTTGATACAACCATTGAACCCCTTGTACACCTTGAACCCGTGCAACTAATTATTATGCACATTCGTTGCACATTTAATTGCTATATGGTAGCAAAGCTTCATACAAAAGGGGGTCTTCCTTTATCAAATAGGCATTTAAGGCTATTCATCCGCCCCCGCGGCCCCCTCGGTAGCATTTAAGAGAGCATGTGACAAAAGAACAAAGGGAAAAGGGTATAGTACAATATGAATAATGGAGAACTGCTGCCCCTTTATTATTATTATTTTTTTTTTTTTGCCATGCTCAAAAAAAAAGAGAACGAAATTGTGCTATCAATAACGCAACTTGCAAAACTATGCTTGAATAATTTTAACACAGACATAAAGCAACAAAAAAAAAATAAAATAAAATTTTATTACGTCCCAATAAATATTTCTTTAGACACTAGGAAAAAATGGAATAACCGGTTCCTTGTATTGTATGTTGTTCATTGGTATTATTAATTCGTACTTACATGTGTATCTAATTCTTTCTCGCGGGGGGGACGGGAATCTGTTCACTTCTTATTTATATTTTTGGCAACACGAGCGCACTTTGAATCCTATTTAATAATTACATGAAAATCATGTTCGTAAAAGCTACCCAATTACACATGTGCAAATTATATAATATTTTATAATAAAACAAAAAAAAAAAAAACAGAAATAGGCCGCTCGCGAGATTCATCCCCTTCCTGAAGGCAACTTTTACATAAGCAGTGAAAGTGTCTCAGGCGCATAGCAAAAAATATAATTATATACAGCTACCAATGTGACGGGTTATGTAGGAAATGATTCCGCAATTCTTTCAATGAGACGGGCTAGCACCCTTCCCTATGCATCCATATTACTTATGCTGGTCTTTCGGATGTCTTACCAGTATCCTTCCATTGTTCCGTAGATATGCGGTCGTCCATTTTTCTTAAAAGGAGAAATTTCTTCCTCATACGTATATTCGAGGAACGCAGGGCAGCAGGCACTGTATCCCTTGTTCCTCTTCTACATCACATAGCTGATGAGTCATGTAACATCTTTTAACCGCTGTTCATTTTCATTACTATTATAATGCGGGAAAAAGGACAAGGAAAAGGGAACAAAGGACAAGAAAAGAAAAGGATACTATTGAATTACTTAATGCAGTCCTACATTCTAAGAACACGTCCGATGCATTATATGCATGACAAGGGGACCAAAAGAGGAAGAAAATTTCCCATCCTGTAACAGTTAATACGCACACTGGGGAAAAAATGAATTAAACGAATTCTACAATTGTACTATACATATGGTAATAGCGTCTCCGTTAATAAAATAGGGAACATAGAATATCTGCAGCAACGTTGGAATATGGCGGAAGTTCAGTGTACACGCCGTCTGTATAATATAGAGTTCGATATTTCCGCGTCCTGCCCGTTCTAAAATTATGAATCATATTCTACGTAATCCTCCTTTTTCCCTCTAAAAAGGCAGCAGTGCGTCCAATTTTCCCTACTCCACCTTCTACTGACGGAAAAATTCCTTCCCCCTAAATAATATTTCCGCGTCTAATGGGGAACATACTACATTCATAAAGGCCCTAAATGCACTAAGCAAAAAGTGGCAATACTGGTACTCTTAACTATATTATCGTCAAAGCACATTGTCACATAAGGTAGAAGTTATTACGGTTTCCTATACACACACACGTAAGGAATATATAAGCATATACCACATAGGACAGAAAAGGGAAAAGTAGAAACATACAATTACATTTCCCCCCTTAGGTGACCTTCCCTGTTTTATGGCATTTATGGAAATATTGCAGGGGAGTATTCGTCCGACAATAACACTCTTTACCGTCCACAGTAATATTCTGCACATTAACATTCTCAATGTTCCTACCCCTCATACACCTATTTACTGCATGTATACTTTTCCACATGCACATTCCCTACAGCCATGCGTTCTACATTCATATGTATAAGATGTATATTCCTTATTTCGATATTTCCAATTTTAATACTTCCCGTAATAGCGTTTACTACCATTTGAAATGGCTCCCAAATTACTACATTTCATGATTATAATTTTATTAAGAAATATTCTAAACTAATATCCTGTTGTTCTGAATACAGGAAAGTATTTATCCTAGACCCAAAACCTCCGCAACCTGCAAAAAATTATACCATACTCTTATGAAAAGGATCTAACCTTCACTTATCACCTTATTCTGTATCATTAGATTCATGTTAAAATAATAAAGTGGTATACCGCATAAATAGAAGATCCTGTTCTTCAAAATAAATAATTTTTCCATTTATTCAACCGCTAAGAATAGCGAGATCATCAATGAGTTCCTAATATATGTCCACACGGTACCACGCACTTCCAAATGAATTATACATCATTTTAATATGTACTAAAATAAACTTTCTTAACTACTTTTCACCATCACATTTGTTATATTATATATTGCTATGCATATTAATTCTTGCCTCAAAATATATGGGCTCATAGAGTGCAAAACCGTAAGCTGCACAATGCAAAGGACTTAATTAGCATTGTTCCTGTACTTAAAGAAGGAGAAGAAGAAGAATTCTATAGAAACCATACATATATAACAAAAAGAACAGTTCTATAATCGTTGAATATATAATAGTTGAAAAAAAAAGAAAAATCACACAATTCATACAACATATATATATAAAAAAAAAAGAAACACTTTTATAAGTCTTGCATTATATAAAAAAAAAAAAAAAAAAAGAACAATTCTATAATTCTTACATTATATAAAAAAAAAAAAGAACAGTGCAAATAATCCCTGCAAATATATACCAAAAAAAAAAAAAGGACAATTCTATAATTCCTGCATATAATAAAATATAATACCAAAAAATAATTCAATCCTAAATTGCATATATATATTAAAAAAGCACAATTATATAATCCTAGTGTATACAAAAAAAAAAACATGCAATAAATTATACAATGCATACATATATATTAAAAAAAAAAAAAAGAATAATCATATAATCGTTATATATGTATAAAATAAAGATATTTTGCTACCTTGAAACTTCTTTATCCCTAAAAGGCGAAAAAACAAAAAAAGAAAGAAGAATGATATTACCTGGGAACCCCGCTATACTCATTTCTGCTCTGTGCTCCTGGCAATATCTTTACGATGTATGATAATAACGAAGACACTCTCAAAATAGGCCTTTCTTTTATGCTCATTCCTTTATCCGTGTTCCTAAAAATTGAAAACTCTTCTTCCATCCTTTATTTTATCTAAATACTTTTTCACTGTACAAATTCTGAATATACCCTGCCTTCTTATATATTAGGCAACGGAATTGAGCACACCATGGAACAACCTAACAAGCCAAAATGACACCTTACGGATAAGATGTGGCAGATTATTGATGGGTGAAACCAATGTAGAAGCACTGCTTGAGCATAATAATACTGTACCGTGGGATATGTTCATCGGTTCAGTGGATGAAAATCACGAAACCTACCTGCAGGACGGTTCCGATGTAACAAAATATAATGACAGCTCTAACTCACGATCTAGAAAAAGTAGTCCCCGCGACAGTTCAAGGAAAAAGTCGAAAAGTACGATGGATCGTGGTAATGTGGACAAATCCAACGAGTCTTTAAACTTGAATAATTTTGATGATCATCAAGGCAAGGAAAGGTTTGGTGGATCTACCCATTTTGGCAGCACGGAGAGTCTGCTTGAAGGGCGAAGTGATCATGGTAACGACGTTGATGAGGACGTTAGCGCGTCCATGCTCTTTGACAGCAGGGATAGTATATTCGAGAAAGGAGCCCATGATATTTTTAATAATAACCAGAAAGTTCATAAATCTGCAAATGCTGACAGCATGGAGAGTCGGCTTGAAGAACGAGACGATGACGGTCATTTCAACAGTTGCCAGGAAATTACAGAATCCATGACCTTTGACAGCAGGGACAGTTTGTTCGAAAAACGGGATGATGTTGATCTCGAAGAAAACAACAGAATGGTTGAACCATCAAAATATCATAATAAGCACAGGAGGTCCTCTAGTAAAACAAGTATCGATATAGAAGATGAAGTTTTCTATTACTTAGAAAAAATACAACAGCGAAATGGATTTTCCGGCATTCATATTGGAGATTTCCTTGAAAACACAATTTGGGTAAAATATTCAGAAAAGTATCTTCCAAGGTTGGATCAGAGGGGTTGCTACTGCCCTTAAAACTTAACGCGCAATGTAAAAAAACGACGAAGAAGCCTGCAGGAATTTTTAGTACACTGACACATACTATAAGTAGGAATAGAACATGGGTACCCTTCACTTTGAACATTTTTGCTTCCTACATGTATTTCCTATTTAATACCCCCCCTTTGGTGGCATGCGTGGCTGCTGGATCTATTGTTGCATCCTCAGGGAGTATAGGACTTATATTGCTGATCCTACTAATAGCGTTTCACTACCGAAAGGAAAGATTAACACTGCCGAATAAACCTATAAGGATAAAATTTTCCCCACAGGAGAATCAGTGGTCTAAAATACCAGAAAATTCAAAAGTACCCGCATTATTCTACTTCCGGTAGACAGTTTCGATATTATGGCACCATTTCATATATTTACTATGTCCACCTGCCCATAATATTCTGTACTACTGGTATGAAGGGATTTATTCGCATTTGAAATTCTCAGCCTAGGGTTCAGTTTCAAACTGTTATTTTGTTTGTATTTTCCTAATACAAATGGTTTGCGCATACATAGTGCTGTTTGTTTCTGTAATCATTTGGTCCATAGACATCATGGGAGGCTAAAGCATTTGAAAAAACAATGATGCTTCCTTCCTTATTTTATATATATGTAACGAATAATTATTTTACATCCTATATGTTGCATATATTACAGAAGGACCATCTTACTTAATTCATGGAGCTCGTATGCTCTTCTATAAAATGTAACACATTTTCCCTGTCTTCATCCTTCCGTATTGATGATTTATTTTCGTGCGTATACAAACTTCCACATTGCCAAATGAAACGGTTTTACAACGTACCTTTTGATGTGCACACAAATGGAGGATGTTATAAATTGTAAAAGACAACATATGTGATAGCTTTCCACGAAAAAATAGCATGCCATATTTGCCGGAATAATGAGCTATGCCCCGCCCTCATATGTACAGGACGAACACAGTGAAAGTGTGTACGAGGAAGGGAAGCTTGTGGCTGCTCTGTCGAGACAAAGTTACCCAGCCTAGCCAATGAATAACGTGAACATGGAAAATTTCCCAATACAGGAAATACTAGACCATATTGTACTATGGAAGCAAAATGGATAAATGGAGCGTGGAGTTTCCATTCCCTAAGTCCTTTAGCATATTTTAAAGTGGCATACGTAACAACTCAGGTGCAATGGAAAAATATATGGTCTGCCATAATTTCACCGTTGCCCTAGGTAGAAACAGCCGCACCTACCCACACAGCAAGAGTGCCGCATGCTTCACTGTTTCTTCCATTTACACCATGAGATCCCACACCTGCAAAATGACAATGTGTCCTTTTTCCCACCGTTCAAAATAATTCACGCGCAAAATATAATTATATACACACAAATGCTGCACCTACATGGTTGCCTACACCTTCTAATAAACGTGAGGAAACCACTTTCTGTTCTTGCATTTCACAATTCCAAATCGGTAACATTCGCATAAGTTGAAAAAAAGGATATTTGCACAGAGTTAACGGTCATGCTAACATTGTACCGGGCTGTGTGCTTCTAACTTTTTTCCTTCGTTTCCTGTTTTTCGGGGGCATATACATTTCCAGCACAACGCTGAAATTTCACTTTTCGTGCATTCCCATTTTTTCGCGGTACAGAAGAATACAATAATGTAGTTGTTTTTGCCAATTTGGCTTATATTCTTATTCTAATTTTTAATAAATGGATTGTTCACCGTGCACAAAATGAGTGTCCTTTGTTTCCATTGTTCTCACTTTCCTTTTTTTTCCCTTTCCACGTTTCTGTTTCTGTGTTCCTGCAACACATAAATTTTATATTATGATGTTGTCCTTTTTTTTTTGTTTTTATTTGTGTTATCTCCTTGAAAACAAAAATATTCCATACAATGCTATATATAGTTCTTTTTTTTTAAACCCCGTAACCGTTACAAAAAAAAAAAAAAAAAAGTACCGTTGCCCCAGCTGCTCCACATGGAAGCAATAAGAAAACACAACTTTTTCTATAATTATCATATATTTTTATTTTATAATTCTTTTGCGTTCCCCTTTTCTTTTTATAATTTTTTTTTTTGTTGTTGTTGTTTAAAATGGTGAATTTCATATATTGTTCATTAGTCATGTAACAAAAATGTGACAAAAACAAAATCCACATGGGCCAGTTCCTAATTTCATATATGTATATTTTGTGTAAAAACCTGTTACTAGTAATATTTTCCCTTTCTTTTTTTTTCTGTCACTATTATTGTTATGACTATTATTATGATTATTCCTTCATCCATTACTTTTTTCACATTTGAAGGATAAAGTTTAGTCCACTAAATATATATGTATATATGTGCTCACATATATATATATACATGTGTCATTAAGTTCATTTTAAAAAAAAACAAAAAAGGAAACAAAAAGGGACCAGACGAGGGCCAGGGCGAATTGGAACAGTACCAAAAGAAGTATATGCATCCCTGCTCAACAGACAGCACTATGCACAACATGTTTACACCGTACTGTTATTTTCACACATATGACCAAGGCATTATGCGCTTGAGGAGGTTCACTGCTGCCTCTCCCGCGTTTTTTCCAAAAGCATATTATGATATTTAAAAGTAAAAATTTAGAGTGCAACGAATGAAATGAAGAACTTGTACTGCCCTTCTTTCATCAAGTGGTTTATATACTCTCTGTTACTCTTACTATGGCATACGTTTACGTACACAAATGAGGTAAGACATAGCACTTAACCAAAAATGGATAAAAAAAAAAAATACAAAAAAAGCATATCTGTGCTTACTGCTGCATTCATATATATATATAAATGTCCAAGCATGAACAAAACAAAAAGAGCCGTGGGAGGGGGGCACATTCGTTTTTTTTGCTTCCCTTCCATGTGGCGTATGTAATTCTACAAACATTCTTCATTCGCCACACGTGTATATGTACTGTACCTACTTTTTGTATTTAATTCGCTTTTGTCTTTTCCCTAGGATAATTTTGGTGAAGCAACGCATAGCAGGATCAGCAGGAAAAATGGATCGTGTGTACACTGTTTCAGAGTATTACTGGAAGAGGGAAACACAGATATGTGTAATAGTTATTCAACATTAATGGGCAGTGCGCTGCAAATAATCAGCAACCACAGAGATAAGGCTGGAAAGGCAGTAAAAATATCTTTGGACAATGAGGGTTTTATGCACGAATTCAACCATGTATTGACTGATGAGAAATTTCCAAGACAAGTTTCTTCCTTCAAAAAACGTGGCAAGCATAAACAGAATTTAGACGTCCCAGCTAAAGGTGGAAAATATGCATCAAATGTATACAATAATAAAAGGATGAATGACAGTTATTTAGATGATTATTATGATGAATACGAAAAATATGAAAAAGAAAAATATAACCATAAATACTATGATGGTCGCACACCGCGTCCTGATGAGAGAGGCAATTGTAAATACCAGGATGGTCGCGGTAGTCGCATATATCACCAGGAGCGATACCATGAAGATCGTGATGATCGCAGATATCCACAGGACCGTGACCATTGTAAATATCGGGATGATGACAGATATCCACAGGACCGTGACGAATATAAATATCGGGATGGTCCCGGCAATCACACATATCATCAGGATCGATACAATAAGGATCGTGGTGATTGCAGATATCCTGAGAACCGTGACAATTGTAAGTATTGGGATGATGATAGATATGCTAAGGACCGTGCCAATTGTAAATATTCGGATGATGACAGATATCCACAGGAGCGTGACGATCGTAGGTATGCACACGATCAACGTGGTCAAAAGAATAAGAAATATCGTGATGAATATAATAAATACGATGAATATTACAAATATGATGGTAAGGATAATAGGGATAATCAAGATGACAGCTACAGAAAACCTTCAAACTATAAACAACCTGCATTCGATAATGAAGCAAATAAGTTACCACGCACATATCCTACTCAGGATTCTACACCCAAACCGTTGAATGATAAATATACAAATTTTAATAAAGCTGGAAAAACACATGATCCAATGAACCTAGGGGACAATGCCAAAAAATTGCACAACACTTTAAAAAACCATTCTGATAAGTCCAAAGGATACTATTCAAAACGATACTATGGCGATAATGTCGAAGAAAAAGACAAAATGGTTGAACCATCAAAATATCATAATAAACATAGGAGGTGCTCTAGTAGAACAAGTATTGATATAAATGACGACCTTCGCTATTATATAGATAAAGGACGACAACAATGTGAATTTTCCGGTTGTCGCATTATAGGTATCCTTAAAAACTGCGCCCTGGGTAAAATGTTTCGACAATCTGATTCCAAGGTTGAATTAGAAAAGACACGACACATGAAGAATAAGGCACAAGATGAAAGAAGGGAAATCAAACCTAGTGGATTTTTTAATAAACTGGCATATGCTATAAGAAAAAATAAAACATTCTTAAAACTCGTATTCATGTTCTCTGTTCCTTATCCATTAGTTCTGTACGCTTCAGTTGTAGTTGCGCATAGCGTAGCCGAGCTCTCATCATGCATAGCACTGTTCTTCATATTACTTATTGTATTTCAAATAATCATAGGATTTGCCCTCTCGAAATTTGCTGTTTCGACTCTACAGTCCAAATGAAAGGGAATAATATATCGAACAAAATCTGTAAACACAAAATTTTGTCAGAAAATCATAAACATAGCAAATCCGATAAATCAAGAACAATATAAAATGGTTATATTCCAGTAGGCAATTTGGATGATACATTATGGTTTTATATATTCATTAGATCGATATCACGATGTTATGCGCTATATTCATGATAGGGTTCACCTATATTCTTACATTTTACATTAGATTTATATGCTAAATTATAATACTGTTTACATTTTTTTAAATATAAATGTTTTGTGCAAATGTAGTTCTGTTTGTTTCTGCAATAAGTTGTGCATAAGCATGATGAAAGGAGGAAGCACTTGAATAAACGGTACGTTCTTCCGTACTTTACATATATATATAACCCATAGGTTCTCTATATCTTACACATAATATATTACCTAATCATTATCACAGTCATACATGCCGCAAGTACTTTCCTCCAAAATATTATTTATTCCCTTTTCTTCGTATTTACACCTTCGGGCATGCTGTCTTAAAAACTTTTTAGCATCATATATAAATGGAAAAAGACTATATAATTCAATATTTAGATGAATATATTCTGTAGAAATATGTCCCCGCAGTTCCTGCTTTCATTCCATGTCTACTGCGTACATAACGATTTCATGGGATGATTCAGCAGAAGATATTATAGACCTAACACGTATTACGGCGTGCCCACGAGCACCTACGAAAATATACTACATTCTTATAAACATATAATGCGTTAAAGAGAAGCGAATGAAACAGCGACCTTCTCAAACAACACAAAAATAAGGGAACAGATAGATAAAAAAAATGTAGCGCGCTTTAGGTAAAGGAATTGTGACCACATAGGTGGTTACTGCATAAAAAACGACGATGATGCTGATGATAAATATGTAATCATTTATTTATGCTAAAATAATACCTATAAATTGTGAGCATGATAATTTAACCTCCTTCCCATCTTTGCTACTCTTGAATATATATATATATATATATATATATATACGTTAAAAAGTTTTCAAACTTAATTTTATAATACTTATCTTATTTCTCCTAATTCACACGGGTGAATGATATTCTTTATATCTTTTCAAAACAATTTAATTACTTATTCTTACAATAACATATCATTCCAAAATACTTTACACAATATTTATATTATTAAGTCTTCTCTAGGGTTTAGGGATTAGTAACTTTTAAAAATATAAAATACTCAACATATTATTATTTTCACACTACAAAAAATCAACATAAGAAATTAAAAATATATAGGAAAAATTAAAAATTTATTTACAAAGAATACAATATAAATAATAAAAACCGAACCCTAAGCCTAAAACCCTGAACCCTAGAAAATTAAAGCAGTATGCAAAATATATGTGCTTCCCAAAAATCAAGAATGTACAAGGTCACATAAATTCAGTGCAAATATATAATTTATACACTTGAGAATTAATACGAAATAGCACATATGTTGCAGACATATATATGCACATACACAAATACTTGATCTTTTACGTAATTCCCCGCAAAAGGAGGGCACTAATTAACCAAATCGGAACGGAAAAACAGATGTGTAAAAAAAAAAAAAAAAAAAAAAAAAAAAAAAAAAAAAAAAAAAAAAA